TCAGTATTTTCAATTTGTCAAGTGCTGAGTCATGCACTTCATATGGTGTCATCATGTGTGAGCTCTCTGATTGGCTTCATTACATCTGAGAGATGTGGTAGGAAGCGACTTAGGTAATTTATCATACCGTTTAGTCGTTGCACAGCCTCTGAATTCTCAAGTTTTGGCATTTCTAGAATTGCCTTTACTTTGTTAGGGTCTACTTTCAATCCCAGCTCAGTCAGTAGATGCCCATGAAAAGGTATCTCTTTACAGCGTAGTTCTAACTTTTCTTTGATTCTTTTTTTGCGACATCTTGTGAATAGCTTGTCTAGACTGACATCGTGTTGCTGTACGCTGGTGCTATGTACTATGATGTCATCTGCAATGCAAAGCACGTCGGGTAGACCTTCTAGAGCTTGATGAAGTCGCTTTTGAAAACTTTCACTGGAAACATTCAAACCAAAGGGAAGGCGGCACCATCAATATCTACCGAATGGGGTGATGAACATTGTTAACAAGCTGGACTCTTCATCCAGTTCTAAGTGCCAAAATGCGGATGAAAGATCAACTTTCGTAAACACTTTGGAGTTAGATAGTTTTGGCAGTAGTTCATCAAGGGTGGGTAATTGATATCGTTCTTGTCTTAGCGCTTCATTAAGTGGTTTAGGGTCAATGCAAATTCTGATCTCACCTGACTTCTTGGTTGTCGTTACAAACTGGCTGGTCCACTCAGTTGGTTTATCAACTTTTGCTAACGCTCAAGCTCAGTTTTCAATTTACTTTTAACTGAGACAGGAACAGTACGACATGGTAACGTTGTAGGAACTGCATCTGGGTTGACATGGAGGTGTACATTGCCTTCTATTTTTCCAAGCACACTACAATTGAAGAGATCTGAATATTTGTTGATTATGTCAACTTTACTGTTCGTCTGAACCATGTTTACTACTTTGAAGTTTTCTTGGTTAATTGAGAGTAAGTTCATCTGCTCAGTGGCTCGCATACCTAGTAGAGGGGTCTTTATTATGATGAACTCAACTGAATATTTCTTTCCAGACTTCGGATTGCGAATGTTGAGGCGACACACCCAGTCAGGTTTCACTCTTGTCCCATTCCACATCACAAGACTGTTGTGACATGGCTTGATCTTGCGATCACCTACATATCTGGCTGGTAGGACATTGACTGTTGCTCCACAGTCTAGCTGGAAACGCACAGGTTTATTGTCAATGAGCATCTCTGCATGGATTTCATTGTCATTCCCACTGACGGCATTTACTTTTACAATATTTATCCATTCAGGATCAGAGTTACTGGAGTGGTCAGTTTCATGTACCGTATTACGCCGTGCACGCGGCCAGGGTCCTGAACATACAAAATCGGGAAAAAATGGGGGTGGGCGCTTACCCGAGGACCACCCCAAAAAAGATTTTAAAAAGTTGTTTTTGTGATCGTATGATAAGGTCAAATAAAGAAATGCTTTCGTACACTTTGTACACGTACTTATTTCTTGATTTATGCGAGGTTTCAATAAACGTGAGCACTCGGTCAAGAACTGTGGGAATACTAAGACACGGGGTCGAATTTCAAGAATAAAACTTGTTTTATGTCAGCGAATGAAGTTGCATTACTCACTGAAATTGGCTACAAAGTATGGTAAGTATTGTAATCAATGCACGGTTACTTTTTAGTAACCGTGATCAGTGCATACAAGTCGAAACGGCCTTGGAAAAACTATCAC